GCAACTGCGAGCCCGCGCCCACGGGGAGCTTCTTTCTCGCGATGCCGATGCTCGCGCCGATCGCCTCAAGGAAGTCGCGGCCGAGGAGACCGAGCTTTTCGCTCTTGACGCAGGCCCGCGCGATCTCTGGCACGCCCGCCACAGCGGCCAGAAACCTGAACGCCTATCACGACAGGAGGGCGCCACCGCTGCCGAACATGCACGCGTCGCTGACCAGCTCGCGCTCGATAACGCGGTCGATGCCGAGCACCACCGCCACCTCGCAATAGGCCCCCCAAACGTCGGCCACCCCCGAGATGACGCGCGCGGCGTCTACCGCAGCTCGGGCGCTGGCAGAACTGGGTCGGTTTAGTGGGATGGGTTCGCGATGCGCACCCGGGGGGCGACCCCCGCCCCGCTCCACCTATCCGGAACTGCCGCAACCTGAAAAAATACACCAGCCACGGCACGCCTGGTTTACTGATTCTGGCCTATTTACGGGCTCTGGGGCCCAAGTACAAACCAGGCCCCCTGACCTGGGGCCCTGGCAATACCCGCCCAAACACCTACTAGATGGCCCTAGACGCGGAGCGCCAGCTCACCTCGCAGCACCTCCTTGATCTGCCCCTATCATCTCGGGCCCGCTACCGCCAGCGCGTCGTCGCCGAGAACGGAGCCCACGATCGCCGTCGCGAACGCCGCGCGAGGAGCTTTGCACCCCTGCTCATTTTCCTGCCCGGCGCCCCTTCTTATCACTACCCTCACAAGTTGATCTCGCCGCGCGACCCCTCGAGCGCAGGGCCAGCTCCCTCCCCGCGTCAAGGCCGCCGACCCGTGTGGGGGGTCTGCCCGCAGGACCAAAAGACTGCTCGCGCCAATGGATGCGCCCGCGCGCGTCGCGCATCTCCTCGGGGGCCTCCGGCAGCTGGGAGATCTGCGGAGCCGCCTCCTCCCGGGCGGTGGTCTGTTCGGCGGGGGGGCCGACGTGGGCCTCCTCGAGCTCCGTCGCCAACGCCTCATGCACCTGGCGCGCGAAACCGTGGATCTCGCCGACGTCGGCCTCGTTCACCTCGTTGGCGCCGTCGTCGTAGTCGCCAAATCGCGCTCGCCCAACAGGTCTCCTCGTCTTCCGCGCCGCGTTCATTCTCGCGCTCGGTCACGTTGACGCCCATGGGGCCCGATGGGCCGCTGCCCGTGGAGCGCCCGTGACCACCCGTCTGCGATGGGCCCCCGCGGTGCTGCTGAAATCGCTGCAGGGGAAACCGACCTGCACGTCTCGTTCACGTGCAGGTCTGGGAAGATACGGATCACGATGGTTTTGATATCTTTATTTCCGCAGCGGTCGCCCGGGAGCGACGAAGCCGCGCGCTCCCCCCTCGCAGCTGCGAGGCTGCATTTCCTAGAAATACACCAACCCACGCACGGTGCCGTCTTGACCTGCAAACCTCACTCCGTCGTCCTTGCGCCTCTGGGCGCCTTCCTCGAAGCAAGCCACGTAGTCCGCCATGCGCTCGCGCGCCCTGCCTTTGCATCGCGCGCCCGTGAAGATTTCGCCCATGGTCTGACCTCCGCGCACTGAGCGCTGCCCGCCAAGAGCATCCTCCAGGGCCTGAGGCACGTTGTTGGCTCCTCCCATGGAATCGGCCGGTTGAGCCTCCTCGATCACCGCGCCGTCGTCGTCGATCTGCGCGGGCTGCGGCGGGAAGGGCTGGAGTTGGCTCCGAGGAATTCTTCACCCCACTCGGCGGGCGGCTCCTCGAATAGGCGAGACCAGCCACGCTTCAACGCAGTAGTTCACTTCCAAGTGCGTCCCTGGGCCCAGGGCATTTATCTCCACGACGTCACGACATCGCCTCCAACCCTGAAGAGCCTCATCCCCGACTGGGATAAAGATGTAGCCCGACTTGCCTGCGCCGAGCGGGTCGTCCAACCTTGGTGCCGTAGGCTCGTGTGGTCGTTGACGAAGTCGAGACCGGCGATGTAGTCCCTGACGCTGTCGGGACCGATGTAGCCCCTGACGTTATGAACACCGATGTACGTCCCGACGCTGTCGGAGCCGATGTAATTCCCAGAGCTGTCGAGACCGACGTGGTTCCCCAATGCTGTCGAGGCCGATGATGCACTTCTCGACGCTGCCGAAACCGTGGATCTGACTGGCTCTGGCAGGTTCCGCTACCTCTGGCGGATTCGCGAAAGTAACTATGACAATCGCAGCTCTCTGTCATGCCTAATCGCGCAACGCTCCGTATCGCTGGCACTGGCGGGACGCGACAGCGAGATGGTCAAACGCCATGGCCGGGCCGAAACTGCCGCGGCGAACGGAGCCCCCTCTAGGACACTCCTGTTCCGTACGTGGTGGCCTCGAGGCAGGCCTCAAAGCGACCTTAGAATAGAAGCGGCAGGAATCGCACGATGGGGAGAAGATCAGGTGGTCGTAAGGCATCGTGGGTTCCAGAACAGGCCGCACATGCAAGATGGCAGCGTTACAGCTGATCGCAGAGTGCGACTTAGATCCGAAGTG